GACTTCAAAAAATATTTCTGAACATTATTTATGGTAGATGGTTAAACAATTATTTTATCAAAATACCAAAATACCTTTTAATAAATCATCAAAAGTGAATAGCAAATCCCGGCTGCTTCCTGGCTTTCAGCCACCAACTTTTCGAGGGTGAGGCCCTTCAAAGTCGATAACCCTAAATGGCCAAAAGCAAATGCAATTTGGCTGAGAAGAGAGAGAGGAGAAAGGAGTTAAAGGAGCTCGCTGACTTAGTACTTAGTGGTAGGTGCAGGCGAGTCACGGCAATATTCAGATTACACGATACCAACCGATGCCACGCCCACCTGGGAATATCCCCTTGGGGGCGGGGGGCGTTGGGGCCCTCAGCACGTCTCACATTAATGGCCCCGCCAGAGAGGAAAAAAAGAAAAACAGAGAAAAAGCCGGCACAAAATAATTGTTTTCCGTTGAGCAATAATTATACCCGTTACTCGTAGAGTAAAAGGGTATACTAGATTCGTGCAAAAGTATGTAACAGGTAGAAGGAAGCGTTTCCGACCCTATAAACTATATATATTCTTGATCAGGATCACTAGCCGAGTCGATCTAGCCATGTCCGTCTGTCCGTCTGTCCGTCTGTCTGTCCGTCTGTCCGTCTGTCCGTCTGTCTGTCTGTATGAACGCTGAGATCTCGGAAACTATAAAAGCTAGAAGATTGACACTTTGCATGCAGATTCTGGGAGTTCCTACGCAGCGCAAGTTTGTTTCAAAAGGGTGCCACGCCCCCTCTAACGCCCACAATCGCTTATATACGATTTTAAAAATTTCAATATTTCGGAAAAGTAAAAATGCAGTTTTATGGTGTTTATCAATACCTATCGAAATGTATAAGAAATTTTTTAAATCGGACCATTCGTTAAAAAGTTACGGCAGATCAAAGTTTTTATCTCGATCTCCTTCGCACTTCCTTTAGCTGAGTAACGGGTATCTGATAGTCGGGGCACCCGACTATAGCGTTCTCTCTTGTTTTCTATACCTTTAGTTCCCCACGGCATTTGCCCCCAATAAAGCTTGTCAGCGGGCGTGGCCGTGCAGTGTACTTTATTTGGCTCAACAAATTGAGTTAAGTGTAAAAAAAAAACACAAAAATAATAAGAAAAATACGAAAAATGCAAAGAAAAGCGATGGCCAAGCCCAAAAGCTGGCAGGGCGAAAACTGGGTGAAAATGTCTGAAAAGCGGAAAAGCGAAAAAGCGGAAGTGGAACACTTGCCTGCTTGTCCACCTTTTAGGCGAAGGATGGGCTAATTAACCCATCGTCCAGCGGCCAACTAATCTAAATGATTTGTGAAAGGAGCTTAAGTGGAAGGGTGAAATTTTAAATGTAAATTGGGGAGGGTAAAAGATAGAATTAAATATCTTTAAATATGAAACTCCAATTGCGAATATGCAAATTTTTAATTGAAAATACATGAACTTAAATAATCTTTATGATATTTTTTTTATAGTTCATTGTTTCTGTTTGTGAAATCTGCAAGTTAGCTTCCTTATTTTCTCATAGCTAAAAATTAAGACACTTTACTTCCTTCATTAATGTACAGATGCCAAAAGTATTAATGTTTTTATGACCGTATTGCATATATCATGATGTAATTTGAATGCCCCCGCAACCAGGCGAGATCTCAACGGTCATTATTTGTTAACTTGCCCTCAACCACTTATTTTCTTGGCCCACACACACATACACACGCATTAATGAGACCACAAAATGAGCTCCTAAATGACCAACAAAAGGAGGAAAAACAGCAGCGAAATGGCAGGCAAAAAAATACGGACAGCGGGGAAAAACCAAAAACATTGTTGCCGCAATTGTCTTGTCCTGTGAGTAGATTTTCCTGTTATTGTTTGGCCTTTACTTTACTTTACTCACATTCATTACACACACACAAAACACAAAGGGTGGTAAGGGTGGTGGGGGTGAAAAATGGGTGAAAAGGAAGAAGAATGTAAGGCAGAAGACATTGTTGCATCCTGTGAAGCTCGGAGCTCGCTTCATTCAGCGTTAATTTTATGGATCCTGTTGAACTAAAGCAGCACATGAATCTCATGCCCACTAATGGCTGAAGGTCCCTCGGAAAACTCCGCTGTTCCTTTTTCCATCCCCTGCATTTTCCACCCCTTGCATTCACAATGCAAAAATAACAACAACAACATCTTAAAGCGCAGAAACTCCTTTTAAGCACAAGAATTATTATGCCAGTGGCCTTCGACTGTTCCCTCATTTTCCATGGACTTTTCCACACTGCTCCGCCTTTTCCGCCCTTTCGATCCCATTTCGGTGCCATTATAAGGCAGAAAAGAAAAGGAGAGAAGAGAAGACAGCCAGGCAGCTGGTGAAAATCCACTGCAAGTGTAAACTTTCGCATGTGAAAAAGAAAGGCGGAAAAGTTCCAAAGGGGCCCATTTGGTCAGTGGTCAAGGGACTTGCAGACCAACGATTTTTGGCCAAAGGTTTGACTTTGATTTTGGTTCAGAGAAGTCATATGTGAAAGGAAAAGTCAAGCAGAAAACAGGAAAATTGATTTAAAGAGAGATTTAACGATTAAAATATTTATTTGTAATATTTTGTATGCAGCAGCATTCTCCTATTGCTAATTTAAATTACAAAATGTCGGTCAAGTGGTTAACTCACCTACTTCAACTTTTACCAAGAAAAGTGGGAAAACCAACAAGAGGAATTTAATAAATCTTGCAGCCAAGTATGGAAAATATTTATTAATTTGAATAGCTGAAGCCAAGTGGAAAATAATTGGCCAAATAAACCTATTTTAAAAAGAATTTACCAACAAAAGCTGAAAAATATTTAAATATTATTATAGTAGAACATAAATATGTTTACTACTGACATTTCAAACCCATTTGTCCATTTCAATACTCCATTTATAATAACATTAAAGACCCGAAATCACTTTGAGTCCTGCTCTCTCTCTTTGTTAGAAGTCAATATTTATTTTTAATTTGACTTGTTTTCATTTCAACTATGTTGTCATTGACAGCACACTCATTTAGTTGAGTTGGAAACTAGAAACCAGCAAAAAGTGGTTTAATTTTAGTGCATTCAATTTGTAAGCTTATCCTTTTCCAGCTTTTATCCGCTTTTTTCAGTTTTTCTCTGTTTTTCTAAGCTTTTTTGTTGTTCATTTTGGCAGCTGTCAGTTTTAAATATCCAGCACGTCATGGTTTTTTATTTCACATACTATATGTTACCTTGTTGATATATAAAGGTATTTTCAAGGTTTTTGGGGATAAACCGTTCTGGGGATTTTTTTAAACAACAAAATTCGTTGAATTTCTATTTGTTTTAATATTTACTAGTATGAAATATGAATTAAATAAAATGCGTGGGATAAAAAATTCAGCAGAGAAAGGTGAAGACATTCCACTAACGATTGACACGTTTCGATTTAAATTGAGCGAGTCTCGACGACAACGAAAAAATGAAAAAATGTTAGAAGTCAGATAGGGAGAAATCCAAACAAATTGCTCGGCATCAATTTAATGGGGCATGCTGTATTGATGAGCTCCTCGGATGGATGGTTAATCAGAATCGCTTGCAGAAAGGACAATTTGTATGTCCTTAGCGTCTGTGTGTTTATTGCATAGTTTGTTTTGCCGAAGCTAAAGCTGAAACTCTCTGTCATCATTTGCGTGAGTAATTGCATGATAAAGTGCTGGCAAAATGGCCCCAGTTGTTGCGATTTGATGGGCATCGGCACTTGCAACATGTTGCAACTGTATGGTGCATGGATATACATCAGACCCACTTTCTCAAGGGACGAGGATGGATTTCCCTTTGTTGCCTTATTGTTGCCATTTAAGCATCTCTTGAATGTTACGAGCGGGGCATAAAAATAAAAAAAAAATATGTCAAGCGTGTGCTGGGCGATAAACCAGAAACCCACACATTCATACATTCATGCAACCCACTGCAGTTGTGAATGTGTGTGTGTGGGCCATAACTTGAGGCGCCATTTAACTGCATTGCGTGCTGGCCTTTTTAATGGCCCGCCTTAAATGCATGGAAAAATTCTAGGGAGTCAAGGAGGCTGGCTAAAAAGAGCGAGTCTTGCTGAAAGTTTCAGGATACCAAATCTACTGGCTAAAAAAATCACTTAATTAATAAAATTAATGGCTAATAAAGTAAACTAGGCTTTAAAAACTGCATTTGTATTGCTTTTACATTTTATTTAGTTTTTAAATGATTAATATTGCTTTTTATATTGCATTTTTTTAACTATTTTAATTCCCGATAAAATATAATAGGCATTGAAAATTGCATTATAATTGCTAATTAAATTTATTTAATTTTTAAACTTTGCAAAATTTGTAATGCCTGCTTAAGTCAACAAACACTTCTTTGGCCCTTGAATCAGTGGTTATCATTATGAATTCAGTGGGGTTGATAAGGCAAAACAACATCTGTTGTCAGCAGCCCCACTGATCGGATGGTCTGTTCAAAGTAACGAAAGACACGTCATGAGAATGGCTTTTACATACTTTCGAAAAATACACCTAAAGAAAAAGAGCTAACCTACAAAAGAAAAAATAAGTTGTCTCTAATTTTGTTTATGCTATGTGTAATAAATAAAGGAAAAACTCATAACCTCTCTGTGATAAATTATGTTTTTAATAATTACAAAATGTATTAAAAAGGGTTTTAATTAAATTAAAGCTACAAGAATTGAGGTTCCAATAAAATATTTAATCTGAGATTTTGTGATAAATATTTTTGAATTTCTTATTTAATATTAAATAAAAGGTAAGCTCCCAAAACTCACTGTGAATAATTACATTTTTAATATTATTAAAATGTTCCAATGAAAGCTTTAGTTCCAGATTTTGTAATGCATTTTTTCGAGTGTAAAAAGAAAGAGAGAGAGCGGGCTACCGCGAGAGTGATAAGCCGAAACCCAAGGCATATAACCCGATCCTCGGCTGAACTGCGGACTCAGTTGATCGCCGGAATTCGAGAGCAATGGATCGTTGGCAGAATCGCGTGGCCGTTATAAGTGGCGCCAGTTCGGGGATCGGAGCGGCCTGTGCCCGTCTCCTGGTGGCCGCCGGCCTGCAAGTTGTAGGCCTGGCCCGTCGCACCGATCGCCTGGAGAAGCTAAGGCAATCCCTGCCGGCGGATCAGCGGGGGAGATTCCATCAGCACAGCTGCGATGTCTCGCAGGAGGCCCAAGTGGACAGCGCCTTCGCTTGGATTGAAAAAGAGCTCGGGGGCATCGATGTGATGATCAATAATGCCGGCATCGTGCTGGGTGGCCAGCTTATCGATATGCCCACCCAGGAAATTGGCAACATCCTGCAGACGAATCTTATGGGCAGCATCTACTGCACCAAGCTGGCCGCCGGCAGTATGAGGCGTCGCCAGGTGGCCGGCCACCTGTTCTTTGTGAACAGTACCGCCGGTGTGGCTGGCTATAAACCGGATCCGGTGGACGAGAGCCTCAACGCCTACACACCGAGCAAATTTGCACTGACCGCCGTCCACGAGATCTGCCGGCAGGAGCTGATCCAAAAAGGATCGAAGATCAAGACCACGGTGAGTATTTAGAACTTTCAATAAAATATTAACATTTCTTTTTTGCACAAAAACTCATTTTAATGAATATTTATAAATCACTTTTTAAGTTAATTTGAATAAAATCATCTTTTACAACTTTCCATTTTGTAAAACGTTTAAAAATGTTGGTGCTGAAGACTATTAAGATCCCATAAATACTAAAACCTTATTTTGATAAGAACATCTGTTTTTGAACAGTGATACTTCGCTAGAGAGGTTTCAAATAATTTTTTAAATATTTCAATGCTTTAAATTTAATAAAAATATATATTCCCCGAGCACGAAGGACTTTGCAAAATATTAAATGCACTCTTAAAAACATTTTAAATAAATTCCTCAGTTTATTAAATTTTATAAGAATAATTCCGCGAGAACGCAAGACATTAAAAAAATATTATTTATATATATTATCCCGCAGAGCATCAATCCCGGCTGGGTGGCCACCGAGATCGTGCCGGAGGAGACGAAGGCCAAGCTGGGCGAGGTCATCCTGCAGGCGGACGACGTGGCCCAGGCTGTACTGTACGCCCTATCGACGCCGCCGCACACCCAGGTGGAGCAGATAACGCTGCGGGCGGTGGGCGAGTACTTCTGATTCCTGATTGCCGATGGCCCCGATAACTGATAACGCAGCCCCCGAGATTAAGCCAACGACGACCGCCATAACAATCAAATGAAGGGGGAACGACCCGTTGCTTTTGACCACAAAATTGTGTTTACACACCTCACCTCGTTTCGTTTTAGCTTTATTGTAACTGTAACTGTTATGGCTATTTGTTCAGCACTTTTATACTTTTCCACAAGCCAAATAAATAATTCAGCTTTGTAAATTAACAACAGCTCGGTTTTCGGACACGGGGAATCGATACTTTTGCATGGACTGTGGCACATATTTGCCTAGGACTGGTTAAAAATTCATGGGGTATCGGTAACGAGTTAACAAAGTCGATAAAGTCATCAAACGGCATCGGGGACACTTCATAAATATGCAAGTGTTTCCCAAAGGGGCGGCACTGCGAACTTTCGTTGGTTAATAATGCAGCCTGTAATTTCTCACACCCACCCAGTGAAGGTAGTTCGGAAAAGTTTCCGGGAAATGCATTGGGTGTACCAAGAAGACCCTTAATAAATTAATTGTATCGTTCAGCGCGAAAAGAAAATATTGAACATTTTAAATACATTTTATAAATATTTGAAGAAACACTTCGCTTCACTTTCTCGATGAACTACTCTAATATTTATTTAATAAATTAAATGAACCTTTCAGCACGAAGTGAATATATTGAAAATGTTCCTAATTAATTTAACCATCAAAAGAGAAGAACCGAAAAACCACTCTAACATTTATTGCCCTTGTCTTTCATGGTAAAACAGTTTCTAAACAAATAATTACCTAAAACATCTAAAAAACTTTGAAATCAACTTAAATTAAATCAAATAAATTCAATTATGACATAGACTTAAATTTCGTTTCATGTGATTAAATTAAGTCATGTGTCCACCAAGCTATCATTAAAAAAAAAGCAAAAAAACAAAGTTTGAGATATGCTTTTAGTTGTGGCCAAAATAGTTTGGCTAAACAAACTTTTGCGTGCGTTTGCCCGAAAGTTGTTTGCCGCCACCACATAATCATGGAATTAATTTTAAAATATATTTCCTTTTTGGCAATCGGGCGAATAAATTCTCTAGGAACAGAATCAGCCAGTCGAATGAATGGCCACTAGGGCTTAGTCGAGTTGAATATTACGTATACGCATCGTTTCGCGACACGATTTGGTACTTAGGACCACGGCCTCAGTGGGCCATGTAATTGCACTCGCTTCGAGGTCCACATAAAATTAACAAATTTCCAACATTAGCGCCGCAAACTTTCGCGCGGGGCTTAAGTCAAAAATTCGAGGCGATACGAGATACGAGGCGTCATGTACAGGACCCATATTATCTCAACGTAATTATTTTATTTCATTTTAGGGCGCTGCGCTGCGAACAGGAAAAGTTTTCGGTTTCGGCGGTATAACCTTTTTTTGCCTCTCTCTTCTGTTTTTTGGCTGAGGCGGAAACTTTTTTCGAACCTTTTAATGACATGTGTGCGCCTTTCCCTCGAATTCCCGTCTAAGAAGAATATTTTTGCTTTTGTTTAAACTTTAAGCTACATTTTATTAGCGAAACAAATTGAAGGAAATATAAGAGAAGAATTATTTGCATGTGCTCAATAATATTTTTCAAAATATGTAATATCATATTACCAAAATTTAATAAAAAGAAAAGTTTTTCACAATTTAAACAGGAGCATTTTAGGTTTTAGGAAACCTTGTGTGATATGTGTTATTTTCCCAGCGTTGCCAAGGAAGATGCCAGTTTGCCTGTCAGTTTCCTTTTGTTTTGGCAGATCCCCAAGAAAATCCGACCTCCCCTCCCTGCCGACGCGCCGTACTTCACTCATTTCCGGGCATTTTGTTTTAATTAAATTTATAACAAATGTCATATAGAGCGCCAAAGTTTGTCTGCCAACCAGCATGCAAAATATTTTCCCCCGTTTCCCTTCCCCCGTTGGCAGTGCATTTTCTTCGGGCCTCTTTAAATTGAAGCCAAAGGAGAGACTAGACTCTACATAGCTTCTCAACGGATTAAACGAAATTTATGCGAAAGATGAGGGTCATCGAGGAGTGGAGGAGGAGGAGGCCCTTGAGCTCGACAAACGGTAATAGGGTTGTGAAAACTGGAAAACTAGGACTTACTTCAATGGCCTTCGAGATGATTTGAATAAACTTGGCATTTGCCACAACAAATTTGATTAGCTGATTAAAGTAGTTTCTAAAGAACAGTGTGCAACTGTACAAAAATATTATTAAGCAAAGGATTATATATTTTAGTAAATATTGGAAAATTAGAGTGGACCAATAGATTGCTATTTGAAATTATTTATCATTTGTAAACGGTTTGTTAATTTATATTTGGCACCTTTTAATAGTTGTTATAATAAAATTATTATTAATTAAAGAATTATAAAATTGGAGGGGACTTTTTGCTTAAAGCCTAAAACAAGTTCATAGCCCCAACCTATTGTTTGGGAAAATATTTCCTTTGGTTCCCAAGCTTGTTTGGAATTCCTATTTGCAACCGAAAATGCTCTCTAAAACTTAAATGCAATTTAAACATGCGCTTGTTTGGAAGTGGAAGCTTTCGGGGGAATGTTTGGCCGGCTTAACCCGTTTAAGTGAAATTCATTTTGGCCAGACTCCCACAGTTGATATCCAGGGGTTTTTCGGTGTTTTGTTGGGGGTTTTCGGAGGGGCGAAAGCCCACAACAATATGCAACATGTTTATGGCATTTTTGCCCTTGGCCCCTACAGCCGCTTTTTTTTTGTCTGACCCCCAGTTTTCTCCGCTCGTGTGTGATTGTGTGTGTGTGGCTCAATTGAGGAATTTTTGGGCCAGGTCCAGGCATTTTCCACCCACCTTCCCCCTCATTCACCCGCTTTTCCTTGTGCATTTCTGCTGCTACACAGCTTCCGTGTGCGGTTGCCGTTAGTTTTGGTGGTGTTTTGACCAGCTTTCCCTGCTATCGACATTTACTTTATGACAAAACGCCCACAGCCACTCCCGGAATTCTGTTTGGGACAGTTGTGGCAAATATGTGTGGAGGTACGTACGTACTACGTATATATGCTGACCTTTGGGGCCACGAACGGGTTGGCCGACGAGGAGAAACTCGTAGAAATTCGTAGAAATTCGTAGAAATTCCTAGAAATTAAAACGGGCATCCATCAAAGCCAATTCATGCCTACGCCATCGCCAGGCACTAAATTTTCGAATCCGGTTTGCATACGCAGGCAGCAAGCAAAGGGACTTGATTGAAATTTGCGGTGGCTTTATTGCAAAACGAAAATAGCATTTGCTAGTTTTCAATAATAAGAGTAAAGAGTAGGCAGTAAATTCGATGCATGGTTTGTGGGACTAAATTCCTAACTAATAAGCTTTAACTCATAATCAATTTTTGGAATTATGGACAATTTATCTATTTATTATAAGTTCTAAAAGAAATATTTTAAGATATTTAATGCAAAAAATTAGCTAAAATCAAATAAAAACTATAAATTTAATGCATAGTAACTAAGATTAAGACTTGCTTTAAATAAAAAATTAATAAACTTAAATCATAATCAATTTTCGAATTATTAATAATTTATTTATGTATTTATTATTAATTCCAAAATTACAAAACATTTAATGCAGAAAATGAGTTAAAATCAAGACTAACACTTTTAAATATTCCCCCCAACCAACAGCAATTAGGAGCGTTCATTTTTCGTGATTGCCCTTTTGTGGACTGTCAATCGTCAATCAAAATTGATCCATGGGCGTGGCGTCGGGGGGTGGTAGTAATTTTTGCGGCCTCATTCGGGTGAAAATTCGGTCATGCTCCGAATGAAGTGCTCCCAGAGCTCAGCCATCGTCGTCATTGTCAGGCAATTTGCAAGCCAAACAAAGGCAAACAATAAGTGCCAAGAAAATTGCCAAACAGTGTCCCCTCTCGTCGGATGCAGTCTGCATTTCAGATTTCAGTTTTCAGCTCTCACATTTTGCACATTTTCTGATTGATGAGGTTTTGAGCTCAATCCCTAGAAGGGCAATCCCTTGGATCCCAGTTCTTATATCCCAGATCCCATTTCCCAGGTGCACAGCTCTTTTTCTTCGACAGAGAGGAGCGGCAAAAATTTAATAAAATCCATACACAAACGTTGGAAATAGTTCAAATAATACTTCTGCTGCTGACGATGCTGCTGCTGCTTGGAGACAATCAAACTGCACAAATATTACAACAAGGAGTCTCGAGGAGCTTTGCATGCCTGCAAAAACATTGACAATCGGGATTGTCAAGCAAACACGTTCGCTTCAGTTTACTTTGCATTTGCATTTAATGAAGCAAAAACAGAGCCGCTGGATGATTTGAAATGCAGCGAGTTCATACTGTAATATTGTAATGGTAATTGTAATTGTATTGCCAGGATATTGCATATCGCTAATCGACAACAATTCAGGATTAATTGGCACAATTTGTTATGCCTCAGGCTCAAAGGATTTGCCTGGTATAAATGCAACGAAGTAATATTAAATATTTATTAAGATAATGGTATCTAATATTATTTATATGATCAATGAATATTTTGTATTTAAATAAACAATCTGTTAAAATAAAATATATATATATTTTAATTATAAATCATTTTCGATCTTTTTAATTTAAAATAAATAAGACAATTCAGTTTAAGTCAGCATACAAAGTCAAAATTAAATATTTCTCGCTGTGTAAATGGTCGGGGGGCAATTGCAGTTGCCGCTATTGAATTACACGACGTTTGCCCACATGCGGTAAAAAAGGCGGAAAATATAAAATCCTTTTCCCCTTTTTCCGGGACCAAAGGATGCAGGATGATGGCGCGTGCGGCGTATTAACTTTTTGCCCTTGCACATAAATTGCAGCATAACGTTTCGTTTACATGATTAAGAACTTTTCACTTTTCTTCTCCTGGCAGCAGCCGCTTTCACTTTGTGTGCAGCCCGCGAGAACTAAGCGAATAAAATAAAGGTCCTGTTGGGGAAAAACTTGTAGCATTCTGTTGAATGATTGTAAACAGAGCAAAAATGGAGTAGTAGAGAGCGGGCCAAAAGTTTTCCAGCCTTGTTTCCTTTCCTCATAATAACCAGGTTTTTCTTTTCTCTCCCAAAGTTTTCCTCTACTTTTTGTGCTATTTCATTTTCTTTGGTGTTTCGTCAAGAGAACCCTTGCTTTTTCCCTTTTAAGGGGGTGAAAAACTTGGCATATTTAAGAC